GTTTGTTCATGTATGTTTTGTGTTTGTTGTAAAAATAAAAAAATATTAAAAAAAAAAAAAACTTTCTCATTAATAGGGAACATTAGAATTCCTCTTAAAATGTACCTTAATCTTGATGTAATATTCATTTTGGTCTCACCCCAAAGACTTAATGGGAGTTTTAACCCCTGAGTTATATCTACTGAAATTGCAGCCATGTATATTTGGCAGCTGATTCCAATTTAACTGCTGCAATATCCAAAATATCAGTTACCCAACAGACCTTGTCAGATGCTTGTCTATTTATTCTAAATCCAGATTGAGATGGGTGAATTATACAGCAGAAGGTATTGCTTTCTGAAGCCTCCTGGCTGGTGCTGAAGTTAATATTTTGGTTTCCAGATTAAGCAAAGATATTGGTCTATAACATGCACGTCTTGCAGGGTCTTTCTCAAGATTTAATATTACTGCAATATAAGCCTCACAAATGATAAAGGAAATATAGAAAGATTAAATGATTGGCTATGGATCTCTAATAACACAGGCACCAATAATCCATGAATGTTCTATATCATTCAACTGGAAATTCATCTGGTCCATGGGCTTTCCCAGATTTCACTGATTGACATATCTTTGTAATTAATTATAATGCTAATGTTTGTATCAGTTTATTGTTATTTTCCCAAGAGATCTCCCATTTCAATGTTTCCCAGAAAATTGATACTTTGCTGTTCAGTTACAGAAGTTCCCAACTGATATAGCTGAATATAAAAATCATAAAACTAATGATTGATAAATACTGTCTTATTAAGTAACTGTTCATTCATTTGCTTGAATTCCAGATACAGAATGTCATTATTTCTGTTATTTCAAATAATAAGCTGGTAACTTTACAGCTTTGTCTCCTGGTTTCTCTCTGATCTCTCCCAGTATTTCTGGTCAATATATTTCAAGGAATAGTCAACTTGTTCTGAGTGTAGTAGCTCAATGTAATATGTTTCATCTGTGGGCTTCCAGCACATAACAAAAATGATTTTTTTAGCCACCTTTCCCAATTTATAAGATTAGAGTCTCTGAGTCTCTTTTGCTGAGGAAAAAGCAATATAGATGCCCAGATCAATGCCTTGAACACATCCCAGAGAATTAATGTATTGATGGAACTCTGATTCATTTGAAACAAAAAAGCACACATTTCCTTCTTAATTTGTTCTACAAAAATAGAATACTTAGAAGAGAAATATTCAAATGCCATTTAGCACTGGATGATTTATAAATATTGAATTTCCCAGTTAGAGTCACTGAAATTGCAATAGGGCCTATTGAGGAGGGCATAACTTGATTCACTGAGGCAGAAAAAATGTTCAAAAATCAAATTTAGTCAGTCAAGTTTGTTACAGAGATTGACCAGTGATTAATAAAACAGAAATTAAAAATGCAAAATATAAAGAACTGAGAAAAGATTAAATAGATATCTAGAATAAAAGGTAGAAGTGCAATCCTTAAGATATTAAAATAAGAATAAACTAAAATAAGATATCAGTGATAAATACTGATAAAAGTTAAATTTACTGAAACATTTAAAATACACAACGTATAGCAGCGTTGTATAAACTTATGTCTTATTCAACTCCAACAACAATACTTCCAGTGCTTAGGGTATATAGAGCCAAGAACCACCCATTGTTAACCTATGGAGCTGAAATTTGGGGTTCTTTGGTAACCCCGTCCTTAGAAAAACCACAAAACAAATTTTTAAGAAGAATTCTTCT